TTATATATATATATATATATATATAAATATATAAGAAGTGATGGTAAACACTTAGCCGGATTTGAATGAAAAAGAGAGTATCGAACTAATTTGGGTAATAATAAAAGGGAAAATTGTACATAATGGCAAACTATTAATTCAAATTAAATGGTATAATCACACTTTGATTTAATTGTATCCTGTAGCAAACTGTTTGCCAGCGCCTCTCTCCCTCAAACTCTCGCTCGCCACTCTCCTCTCTCGCTCACTCTCTCTATGCTCGCCTCTCTCGCTTTATACACAGAAGTGTATAAATTGCGTTTCTGTTTGTATAAAGCGCGAGAAAAAAAATATGAAACTAAACTCTAATTCAAAGACTTTATATACTAAATAATATAAATATAATTAGATAATTTACTATCGGGTTATCGGTTAATCCCTTGAGAAAAAACTTCAAACCTCTAAGAATGGATAACTCGATAATGAAAAAATCAAAACTTTGGATCTACTCTTGCTTCTTCCTTTTCTTGTTGGTTCTCTCTTTTGGTAAATTAAACGGCATTTTTTTTGGTTTTCTTGCTCCTTAATTTTTTCCCCAGTCTTAGTGTTTTTCCTTGAATCGTGCAATCTCCCCAACATTTTTGCTCGACCTGTTTACCTTTGTTTCCTGTAGAATTGAATGGAGTATCAATATATGTTGGATTCTTACACTTTGTTTGGATGGTTGTTACATATTGTTTCATAATGTATCATACTGTATTCTATTGTGTTGTATTGTATCCTACTGTATTGTTTTAATGAATATAGTGTTTGTATATATTGTATTCATGTTATCCGTCTTTACATAATGTCACACATCTATAATTTGAATGATAAACCTACAAGAAAAGTAGGGTACGAAGTAGAGTTACTGTGAAAAGATACTTGGGATGAAAAATGAAATATGATTATTAAATGATAAATAAAGACAAAATGAGAACAAAATAGTAAGGTAACAATGCGACGTTACATAAAATGTATCGTCGTGACCTAACGGTGATTCAAACGATACGATACAATAGAATTTAAGTAACAATCAAAACAAACATTGTATTTAAACTAACAATACAACGGGTAACGACCATCCAAACAAGGTGTTAGGATCAATTCAATTTATGCCCATGCTTTTTCAGTACCAGAGGAAGACACTTCATTTTACTTCCTGTCTTTATCACTTCCAATACATTTAGCCTCTGCATCTTTGGTCTTTTCAGCATGTCAACATTGGTTAATAGTGTCCTAGCAGTTTACATTTTACAATGTCGACAAAACTTAGAAACGTTCTCGTATTCAAGTCTTTGAGTAAAACCTTTCAACGGATTATTTTAGATTTTTTTTTTAATCAACATAACTTAATGATATTAACAACCAAATGGAGGGGGACATAAAGCCTAACCTCCTTTTAAGGTTCTTGATCCAGAGATCTTAACAAAATAAAACAATTATACTAGTGTATTTAAACTACAATTGTTAATGCCACTTCATTCATGCTTGGTCTAGTTTTATTATTTGTAGCGAAATCCATAGAAAGAGGAGTACCGAGAGACCTTATAAGTTCCAAGTATGACAATGGAACGGCAAACCTGGTAGCAAGGGCGGATATAGATGCAGCCAGGAGTTGGGGTTCACTCAAACTCCCTTCGTCGAAAAATCACACTATATATAAGGTCAAATTATGATTTTATGAATATATATATTAAAATGAACCACCTAAAAACAAGTAAGAAGTTTAGCTCAATGGATAAAGGAGTTCAAGAATTGGCCCTATGTGGGTTTGAGTCCCACGCGCACACAACCATCTTATTTGATAATGAAAGCATAGTGTTTGAACTCTTTTTTTTTTGTAATTTTGTACACCTTTTGGCTTACGTGTCACACTCTGTGACTCCACGTAGCTGAGGCGTGTGGGAGATATTTAGATGCCACGTAAGCCAAAAAGGTGTACAAAATTACCAAAAAAAAATGAGTTCATGGAGGTAATAAGACCTTAGTTTAATTAAAGTGTGTCTCTGAGATTTCGATCATAATTTGTGGTGTACTTGTGCATTATCCCTAATTTTCTCTCTCATTTAATTATGAGAGGTTGTTGGCTTTTCATTAGATTAGCACAATATGGTTAGGAGGACAGAAAGACTTCATTAATTTAGATAAGTGGTTATCAAAATAGCATATTTAGTCTTACACACAAAAATAGAATATTTAATGTAAATATTCATTATATTATATTATATTAGTACAATGTGATTTATAACATTTTTGTCTAGTCGCCCATAATTCATGAGCTTTGTTTAAAGTATATAAATGAATCTAACTTGATAAAACCATGTAAAGGTTAAAGGTAAAAATTCATATGATTTCAGCATAAATAACTTTAAGCCCCGAGAGATATAAGAAACGTACATATGAAAATATATTAGCACAATATATTGTGTTATATTATACAACAAAATATTACATGATCAACCATACATATGAACTCAATGATGTTTTATTCAGTACGATTAATTTAGCAAGATTTTAGATCGAGTAGCTAAACTATTACTATTATAGATCTTGCCTCTACGTATAACGGTTTAATAATATTACATGATGATTTGTTGTGAGGCAATTGGCTAATCGATCACTTATTCATGGCCTTCACCTAAAGGATTGTATCCATCACTAGGGGGTTTATATTTGTAATGTGGAGGGTTATATTTGCCACCTGAAGGTTTGTATTCATCACTAAGAGGTTTATATTTGTCACCTGGAGGTTTGTATTCATCACTAGGGGGTTTATATTTGTAATATGGAGGGTTATGTTTATCACCTAGAGGATTGTATTCGTCACTAGGGGATTTATATTTGTCACGTGGAGGGTTATATTTGTCACTTGGAGGTTTGTATTCGTCACTAGGAGGTTTATATTTGTCATGTGGAGGGTTATATTTGTCACCTGGAGGTTTGTATTCGTCACTAGGAGGTTTATATTTGTCACCTGCAAGTTTGTATTCATCACTAGGAGATTTATATTTGTCATGTGAGTGGTTATATTTGTCACCTGGGGATTTGTATTCATCACTAGGGGTTTTATATTTGTCATGTGGAGGGTTATATTTGTCACCTGGAGGTTTGTATTCGTCACTAGGAGGTTTATATTTGTTATGTGGGGGGATATATTTGTCACTTGGAGGTTTGTATTCATCAATAGGGGGTTTATATTTATCATGTGCACCTGGAGGTTTGTATTCATCACTAGGGGGTTTATAACCTGGAGGTTTATACTCATCACTAGGGGATTTATATTTGCCATGTGGGGGGTTATATTCACCACACCGAGGTTTATATTTGTCATGTTGAGGGTTGTATTCGCCACTTGGAGGGTTGTATCCGCTACGTGGGGGTTTATTTCCACCACTTGGAGGCTTATATCCATTGCTATATGCACCATCAAGAGATTTATATCTGTTGTTATAATCGTCATGTGGGGGTTTATATCCCCTACCTGGAAAATTATATCCATCACGTGGAGGATAATATCTGCCACCAAAATATTTATATCCATTGTTATATTCATCATGCTCATCTCTGGGATATCCGTCAATGTCATTATATCCATCATCGTGTACATCATCTAATTTCATTGCTACAAATATCAAATGTGAAATTTAAATACTGGCATAACATTGAATAAATGTCAAATAATTAGATAAGAAATCCAATATTTCAAATAGATAATTATTAAAAAAACTTACAGGTCTCAGTCAACTCCTTAGCCACAACCTCAGAGCTTATTATTGCAAAAGTAACCAAAAAAATGCCAAGAAACAAAAATGCCTTGGAACCCATCATTTTTTTCTTTTTTCAAAACTTAGTTATCCTATTAAGGGATGAAGAAATTGATACAACATTGGGTTATATTTATACTAAAAAGAATTCAATGTATTAAAAATTGATAAACGGTCACTTATCACTTATCTTGCCCAACCACCATACATATATTATATTTCCTCTGTTTCAATTTATTTGTATTATATTCTTAATCTGTTTTTAAAAAGAATGGTAGTATAGGACCACAATATTTATCTGCATTTTGTGATGTACACTAAATAAAATAATTGTTTATAGTTAAAAAATAAAATAAGCATATATTATCAAATATTTTCTTGTGATGGGAGAGTGAATCTCATACAAAAGATGAAATATTTAAAAAAAATTATAATTTCAATACTTTACTAAAATCTCTAAGAGTGATAAATAACTAAAAGTTATTATTATATTTATCATAATGTAAATTTTGTACATATTTATTTTTTACGTAATTTCCTTTTCTTGAACTTTTTTTTTTGGGTGGAAATTTAAATAAACACAAACTACTGCTCTAATAGACTAATACTAATAAAAGAGCTTCTTAAATCTTACTTAAACATAAACTGCTATAAGCCTATAAGGCTACAAAGAAATTTTTGGAAACACGTTTTAAAATACGTAAATTTTAAAAGTTTTCCCAAGTAGGTTCTAATTGCTCAAACAATTTTTATTGCGTTAGTTTTCTACTTCATATATTTGAAGTATTTATTGCTATCATTTTTGGTGGTAGGTGATCGATAAGTACCTTCTATTTTTAATTATACGTTTTCAAATTTGAAATATTTAAGAAAAATATTACTTTTGATATGGAACACTATAATCCTAAAGTGGACCATTCCTGATAGAGAGGCAAAAGTAGAGTTGAGACGTCGGATTTATCTTGAATCTAATATTTTTTATGTGAAGCATAAATTTTATAAATAAAATTTATTCAAATTGCAACAAATTTTATAAGAAGTGATGGTAAACACTTAGCCGGAGTTGAATGAAAAAGAGTGTGTCTAACTAATATGGGTAATAATAAAAGCGATAACCATTCCTCTTATAATTTTTATTTTTTTTGAAAAGGGTCTGATAAACCTCGCAACTTTGTTATTTAGAGCTGATATATCCCTCATTATGAAAGTGACTCATATATACCCTCAATGTTATACAAATGACTCACATATACTCTTTTCCTCTAACGAAAGTGAAAAAAATAATTTTAATTTAATTTTTTAAATTATTTTTTAGAAAAAAAATATAATCCATATGGGGTATATTAGATCCTCCTCACACGTATTTTTGTTTTTTTGACTTTTATGTTTCAACGACTAATTTTTATTATTTTGATGATCAAATTTATTTATGTTTCACTAATTTTCTTGTAAAATTTTTTATCGATGCCTCATTTATTTTATTTTTATAAATACAAAAACTATATTACAATACACTCACAAAAAAAAAAAGTTTTAAATTGAAGGATACCTTTGGGAGGTGTCATGGTTGTGAGGGTATAAGTAGGTAGTGCATGTAATACATGTTTAATCGAAGTAACTTTTCCACCTTATGGAAGAAAGTGTCATTATATGCTATCAAGAATTGTCAAATCTGGAATCTTTTTTTTGTTATCCCTCGTAATACTATGAATTTTTTATTTTTTTTTGTCTCCCTCCTCAAACCAACTTTTGATTTTTGTAACAATAAAAAAAGAGTCATGTATGCAAAGCCACTTTATAGATTCAGCATGAGTTTTGTTGGCATCTTATCTTTCATGTTCTATTTTACAATGAATGTATGCTTCTTCAAAGAATTGAACTTTCTCTTCCCTTTAGTATGCGTATCGATCGATTCGGTTCGATTTTGAAGTTAACCGGTTCGACTTATCGATTATTGGTTTGTAGACATGCTAAACCGTTATAAAACCATTAAGATATTGGCTTGTTTTGATTATTATTTTATCGGCTATTGATCGTTATCGATTTAATTGTTAAAATTTAACACACAAAAAAATCACTTAAAAACAAGTTGACAAATCAAATGAACCATGCATGCACATGAGTTGCCAAAATGCATCTTGCTTAAAAGCAAACACTGAAGCATTGTAGAATAACCTAAAGTTTGAGACAACCTAAAAAAATATGAAACTAAACTCTAATTCAAAGACTTTATATACCAAATGGTATAAATATAATTAGATAATTTACTATTGGGTTATCGGTTAATCCGTTAAGAAAAAACTTCAAACCACTAAGAATGGATAACTCGATAATGAAAAAATCAAAACTGTTTTGAGAACCTGGAAGATTTCACCCAAAAATTAAGAAATCTAATTCCTGGGTAATTTCTTTGTTGTGTTTGAAAGGAATCTTCAACTAATTCCTGGCTAATTTATTCGATAAATTAAACGGCATTTTTTTGGTTTTCTTACACTTTGTTTGGATGGTTGTTACATATTCTTTCATAATGTATTCTATTGTGTTGTATTGTATCCTACTGTATTGTTTTAATGAATACAATGTTTGTATATATTGTATTCATGTTACCCGTAGTTACATAATGTCACACATCCATAATTTAAATGATAAACCTACAAGAAAAGTAGGGTACGGAGTAGTGTTACTATGAAAAGATCCTTAGGATAAAATATGAGATATGATTATTAAATGATAAATAAAGACAAAATGAGAACAAAATAGTAAGGTAACAATGCAACGTTACATAAAATGTATCGTCGTGACCTAACGGTGATTCAAACGATACGCTACAATAGAATTTAGGTAACAATCAAAATAAACATTGTATTTAAACTAACAATACAACGGGTAACGAACATCCAAACAAGGTGTTAGGATCAATTCAATTTATGCCCATGCTTTTTCAGTACCAGAGGAAGACACTTCATTTTACTTCCTTTCTTTATCAATTCCAATACATTTAGCCTCTGCATCTTTGGTCTTTTCAGCATGCCAACATTGACTAATAGTGGAGAAAAGGATCAAAATGGTCCTTTGTGTTTGAGTTAAGAATCAAAGTAGTCCTTCTCTTTTAACATGGAGCACTAATAGTCCTCCATGTTTCAAGAATTGGTACACTTTTGGTATGCTTCCAAACATATGTCTATTATTTAATAGAGCCTTTCTTTTGCACGTGAGAAAGCATATACATGATAATTTTGATTTCACCATTGCAAATCAAATTTAACCTTCTTCTTTGATAACTCTGTATTCACTTGGTGGAAACAAGATTTTTCCCTTCTTCTCCGTAGTATTCATCCCTAATTTCATAACTTTGATTTTCCTATTATACAAACAAAAATCATTATTTGAAGTAAATTTTGAGCAACTTAAGGAAATTCCCTCCGAGAATCACTATAAATATACATATAGCTTTTTTTAGTATTTATAAAAACAAGTGAGCAAAGAAGAGTATTGTTCTGTGATCAACTCTAGTTATATGTTCTTTCATAATTGTAATCAACATTAGTTGAATTAACTAGACTTGTCATCGTAGGATATTTGTTTTCGATTATGATAACAAGTCTTTTCATTCTAGATTGTCACTCTCCTTTTTCTTGTACTTTTCTTCTGTCACTCTTCTTCTCTAATATATATATATATATACTATATAAGTTAAATAAAAGCTTAGTCAATTCTTGGAAGCAACTACCTTTTATTGTTGCGCCATAACAACATAGTTGCTTCCATGAATCGACTAAGCTTTTAATGGAATTTAGAATGAAATTTTGACTATAGGGTTTGATTGAAGAAGAAAGGGAATATAAAATAGAAGTCTGATTTGATAAGGAGGTCAGAGGGACAAAAAAAACCGAGTTTTTTTTTTTTGGAGAGGGGGGGGAGAACTTTCTCACGTGCAAAAGAAAGGTTGGGTTAAAAAATAGACAAATATTTGGAAGAATACTAAAAATGTACCAATTCATGAAATATGGAGGACTATTAGTGCTCCATGTTAAAAGAGAAGGACTATTTTGATTCTTAACTCAAACATAAAGGACGATTTTGATCCTTTTCTCACTAATAGTGTCCTAGCACTTTATATTGTCGACAAAACTTAGAAACGTTCTCGTATTCAAGTTTTTGAGTAAAACCTTTCAACGGATTATTTTAGTTTTTTTTTTAATCAACATAACTTAATGATATTAACAACCAAATGGAGGGGGACATAAAGCCTAACCTCCTTTTACATCTTAGGACAAGAAAGATCCTATCCTATTAAGGTTCTTCATCCAGAGATCTTAACAAAATAAAACAATTATACTAATACATTTAAACTACAATTGTTAATGCATATAAATAAAAGTATTCAAGGTGGATCAAATTGCCAGGTATTAGTCTTCTTGGCTCTTCTTCGAAAGGCGGAAAAATCCAATTTATTCATCCTAAGAAGACCTTCAGTACTCACTTTTGGAAGATCCACTTCTTGCAAAAAATCTTCGGATCTTGAATTTGAGTGGCATATCTTGCTAGAGCATCTGCCACTTCATTCATGCTTGGTCTAGTTTTATTATTTGTAGCGCAATCCATAGAAAGAGGAGTACCGAGGGGCCTTAGTTCCAAGTATGACAATGGAACGGCAAACCTGGTAGCAAGGGCGGATCTAGATGTAGCCAGGGTTGGGGTTCACTCAAACTCCCTTCGTCGAAACATCACATTATATATAAGGTCAAATTATGATTTTATGAATATATATATTAAAATGAACCACCTAAAAACAAGTAAGAAGTTTAGCTCAATGGATAAAGGAGTTCAAGAATTGGCCCTATGTCCTGGGTTTGAGTCCCACGCGCACACAACCATCTTATTTGACAATGAAAGCATAGTGTTTGGGTGTTTGTGGGGGGGGGGGTGGATGTTGCCTTAGACTTCAATTATTTCCAAACATCCAAAGAGAACACCATCAAATGCTTCTTTGAAATAAATCTCCCACAATGGAAAAACCCTTTTTTCTAGAAACTCACCAGTACTATCTTCAATTTTTACAACCAAATAAAAAGGGAAATAAAATT